ATTTTAAAATGTTATTTTGAATAATCTCTTGCATTTTAAACATAAGATGCTCCCTATTTTAAAAATTTAATCATTAAAATTATGTTCCAAGACACTATTGAAAATAATATTTAAAAATAGAGAGTGGATTTGATTCTCCATCGAAAATTGGAATATTTCGAATACATTTAATTATAGAGAACATATTTGACTCTCCAAATTTTGAGAGTCAAATTCATTCTATATAATTAAATTCATTTAAAATATTCTAAATTTAATTACTCCATATATTGACTCAATTAAATAGTATATAGAAAAAAATTGAGAAAAATAATATAGTAATCTAAAGGGAACCTGGTGAAAATAAAATATAGGTAAAAATAATAAATACATATCAAGATTAGTAAATTAAACCCTTGTTTGGGCTCTGTTTTTTCATCAAAATGTATTCTTGGAGAATGATTTAACCATATTTCAATCACACATTCTTCAATAAAATAATATTAAACGCAAACTCGAAACTTTTTTTTAACTACACATTCTCCATTATAACACTACTAAAATGCATTTTAAAAAAAAAAAAATTGGGTCAATCAACCCCTAAGTATTAAAGATAAAGTGGTTGTCGGAGTATTTAAAAAGTTTTACTCTCTAATTTTATAGATATTCTCTAAATTGTAAAATATGCTATTTAAAAAATTAATAATGCTAGCACAAGTGGTACTGAGCATCAATTTAGGTGGTCACACTTGATGTGTTCAATTGAATGAATCATATGGCATTGCATAAATAAATGTATCTTTTCATGACATGCAAGTGCCATCTAGAAATGCATTACTCTTTAAAAATGGAGTATCTTAAGATGCTAAGATTCTTTGAAAGTCAAATATTCGTTATTTAAGAGTCAAACCTTAAAATTAAGTTCCAAAACATTCTTTATTCTAACTTTTTAAAATAGACAGTGAAATGTTTCTATTTATAAAGACTGTATTAATAAAAGTGCAAGTTTTAATGTTTCACTACTTAAATTATATATTTTTATATTGAATACTAGGTTTAAGCAACGTGCAATGCACGTTTGCTTCGTTTATATATATATATGTGTGTGTGTGTGTGTGTGTGTGTGGTTAAAAATTAAATTTTTATTAATAAAGATATAATTTTTTGGTTAATTAAATAACTAATGATGCAATGTTTATCTAATTGATAAATAATTA